ATGCCAATTTCGACGGTGTACAAGGTTATTAAGAAACAATTAAGACTGCATGCATACAAAGTTCAAATTGTTCAAGGTTTGGAACCGGACGATAGGCCTAGGAGGATGGCGTTTGCAACAGATATGGTAGGAAGGATAGAAGATGCTGCTGATTTTCTGAAGCGCATAATGTTCTCCGACGAAGCATCCTTTCATGTTTCTGGCATTGTTAATCGCCATAATGTGCGCATATGGGGATCTGAAAACCCCCATGAATACCGTGAGACACAAAGGGATTCCCCAAAGGTTAATGTGTGGTGTGGACTAATGCACGACCGAGTCATTGGGCCTTTCTTTTTTACAGAAAAGACGGTCTCATCAGTCGTATACTTAGACATGTTGGAAAACTTCGTATTTCCACAACTAGAAGAGCTTCAGCCACATGTCTTTTTGCAACAAGATGGTGCACCACCTCATTGGGGTATCATCGTTCGTAGTTCTTTGAATGACCATTTTCCAGGAAGATGGATTGGGCGAGGAGGTCCAATTCCTTGGCCACCCAGATCACCTGATATAACGCCGCTGGACTTTTTTCTTTGGGGATTTATAAAGGACAATGTTTACAGGAGGATCGTGTCGAACATTGATGACCTAAAAGCCAGAATTACAACCGCAATAGCCTCTGTGGATGCCGACATGCTTGCCGCTACCTGGCGTGAAATTGACTATCGACTTGATATTCTCCGTGCGACGAAGGGGGCACACGTGGAAGTTCATTGACAAAGGTCATGAAACTTTTTGAGTCTATCTAACCATTTATGTTATTAATTCTAATCTATCTTTATTATTTTATGAGTTATTAAACATCAAAATGGGTCCGGGACTTTATAAACACCCTGTATATTGGCCTCCAAATATTAAGGTGAAAACTAGTTCTTTTACATCTTAATTATAGTTCGAGAACAAGGAAGTTGGTGGAAATCTATAATACTATAATGGAAATATATAATAAAAAACATAATAAATACTGAAATTCCGTGTAATTGGAGGTCCTTAATCTATTCCTCGTTGACGTGCGCAACACTTTATAGCGATGTTTGAAAAAAGTGACTTTTAACCAAGTTGACCTTAGATTCAAAGCTACTTACATTTTAAATATATCTTGTGTAAAAAAGATAAATAATTTTATTTGGGATATATTCATCATTTGATTTGAAATCGTAATATTTGTTTTAAAATTAAAGAAATAAGGTGTTGCTTGAATTTACGAAATGTTTACCCTAATATTATCCTTTTATAAGAGAAAGAAATCTAAATGCAACATATTTTGATGTATTCCGACAATTATAGAGTGTGAATTTAAATTCTGAAAGAAGTAAAAATGAATTTTAAAAAGACGGTTCTTTTTTTTTCCAAAACAGTTCATCATAATGCTGATATTTAAAAACAAGTACTTTCTTTGCACCTAGAGTGGTAACAATCTCGATAAGCAAATATAACTTTTATTATATACGCGTTTTTCATAAATTTTGTGACCGTTCCTTGATGAACCTGCCAATTTTTCCTAAAAATGATTTTTCCGAAGTGGTAGTAAAATTTAATTTGAAAAAACAGATACATATATTGCCTGAGATTAGTTATAGCATCGAATGATTATAATGAATAAATGTTTAATTTATTTATTTGTAATTGAGCATTTTAATTAAATTTATCATTCCAAGAATGGAAAAGGTTTGTTATCACTTTAAATATAAAAATCACATTTTCCGGAAGAACTGGCAGCTATCTAAACTCAAAAATGAATTTGGAAATAAATTATTTTTACTGAAAATTAAATTATTTTATTTTAAATTAAATTATTAAATTATTTTTAAATTATTATTACATTATATTTAGTAAATTATTCTTTTTAATTAAATTATTAAATTATTCTTTTTAATTAAATTATTAAATTATATTTAAATCATTATTTAATTATTTTTTTAATTATTTTTTTAATTAAATTATTAAATCATTTTTACTGAAAATAAAATTATTTTTTAATGCCTCTGGAAACAAAATATTTACTGATTTCAAATTAACAATATTTAATTTTAATTAACACCGTCTTTGAATAAATAAGTTATTTAGGTAATAAATTTCTTAGTTAAATTAGATAATTAATTAATGTAGCAAAACCTATCTGCCTTTTCATATGAAACAAGATCAAAGTGGAGGAAAATAATTTTGAGTTCTTTAATGCCACTTCTATGTGCCACCATTTAATGCCACCATGTTTCAAATTTTATTTTTGACTATAAATTAATTAACCATATAAGAAAGACAGGAAATAAAAGAGGTGATTTGCGTCACTTGAATAGTTTTTTATGACAAAACTCGAACTAATATTGTCTGACTGATAGAGTTGTATCGGAGTGCCGAGGGGGATATCTGCTCCGAAAATAAAATTATAGGAAGGATGGTTAACAAAAGTCTCATGTTGAAGTACAAATTTGAAAAAAGTCTGGGTTGCGTATAAACAAGTTAAATCGCAATTTGATACATAAAATTAATAATAATGAGAAATAGTATTAGATAAGAAAGATAAAAAATAAAAATATTTATAGTTATATACAAGAGGGGAAGACTCCCTATGCAGTCCCCGGTAGCCGGATTTCTCAGGTGCAGAGTGCATAGTTTGTCTAAGATAGAGGAGATGATATTAAAATTATCGGTAATGTTTTGATAGCACGCAGTCGCTAAAAAAGAATGCGGTTATCGAGCTGAATTTTACGTTATTATCAATAATGTCTAAATCTAATAACTTATTGAAATCACGTGTTCAACAATCGTTAGCACCTTTAAAAAAGGAAGCATTAAGTTTAAAAAGATTTTGTCTATTTTAAGATCGTTATAAAGGGTATTATTTTGAGCAACCCCGGTGATTCTCTTAAGTACTTTGTGCTCAAAGATTCTTATCCTTTGATTGTTTGTATGAGCCCCCCAGGCTGGGGAGCTCATTAAATATATATGTCTTTTTGTGTTTAAAGCCATTTTGCTCTCACTTTTTAACAGGGGATTTAATGATTGGAAAGCTGCTTTTGCTTTTTTAAGAATATTTGAAATATGTATTTTCCAGTTAAGGGAACAGTTTAAGGTGATTTGGCTTTCGAGACCTTTGGGATTTTTTCATTAAATAGGATTATTTTTTCATGTTGGATCATTTTTCTCTTATGAAATTTATATAAAATGGCTTTGTTTAACTTTCATCCTTTTTTTATGCCGGGAAAAGTAGACTGAAAAACAAAGGTTTTGCTTAATGAAAGAACGGAAACAAATATTGTTTCAAAAACGTATCTTCCTTTAAAAAAAAAAAAAATTAAAAGAAAAGAAAAGAAGAAAGGGAAAAGACTTCCCAAGGCAGTTATGAATTTGACTCTTTTTAATTGTTCGTTGTTTTTATATTACAAAATGCTATATTTCATTGTTTGTGGGGTGGCTTGTAGAAAAATATGAGATAAAAAAAAGGCTAAAGTCAAGAAATTGTGAAATCCGACAAATCTTTCATCATAAGTGAGATTGGATGAAGAAGTATTGCTATCGAATGCATATATATGTTTGCTTTCAGGATAAATAGTTTGTTTCACCTTTTTTTAAATATCGTAACGTTTTTTTAATATGCAACGAATTCTTTCACGAAATATGATGCTTCATACATAGAAATATCATATTGTGAATGAACTGCCAAAAGACAGTCTCTTCACTTTATATTTTGCCACAATTGAATTCTTGTAAATATGTAAAACCTGTTTATGACTTGCTTTAAATTGTATAAATTGATCACACTATCGTTACTAATAAATATTTTAAATAAATTTTAAATATGTGTCTTGATATCCCGAAAACTTTTTTTCTCTCTAATTTGTTGCTTGAATGTGTGTACACAAAAGCAAGATTCAAGAAATAACTGTTACATATTAAAGTATGGTAAAGTTTATAAAGTTATTTACTTCGATCTGATTCACCAACCTGTTATTTTCAAGACATTAGAAAAGATTCTTTCGAGTCTTGATGACACAATAATAAAGGCACTAGGATGTCATTTTTAATGGACAACAAGCTGGGCTGTCTTATTCACAAGCAGGGCCCCCGGGCACAGAAATGTTTTGGGCTCCTATAGCGTGTCACACTGTTAAAAATTGAACTAAAAATCTTCACATACATTAAATAAAACATTTTTAAGATATGCAATAATTTTAACTAACTTAAACACATTTTTATTACCCCCAAAAACTCAATGCACATAAAATAAAGCATTTTTAAACGTGTGGTCCTAAATAAATAATTCAGAACCCCTATATGCATTATTTAAAAATAAAAAAAAGTTGAGATACTAACCAGTTGTAATCCTCAAATAATGAAATAATTTTCAAAACCAAGAAGATAATAAAAAATAATTAAATTAAAAAACACAAGGGTATAACAAATTACAAAAAATTAATTATTTCGTCAAACTGTTAAAAAGTTAGTTATTTAAACATCTTCCAATGCGCATCAGACTCAACCAGTTTAAAAGTTGCTGTTCCATAGTGCTCTGTAATTCTTAACTCTTTCAATTATTACTTTATTTAACTCATTATAAATACTAGAGAGAGTTGATGGTGGTCAAGTATGTTTAGAGACATTATAATTTAAAGAGTTGAGTACCTAAAAACTTCATTTTAACGTAGAAAAAAAGATTTCGGTTGACTTTTTTTCCTGGTGATAAACTGTTTAAACTACTCGTGTTTACATGATAATCAATCACTATTGGTAGGAAAAAAAATTCACCTCAACACGAGTAAGTGGCGTTTCATATAAACTTGGGGAAAATTATTTTAAACCAATTTAACAAAGCAAAAAATAATACATTAAAACATATGCCACAAGAAGAATTTTCCCCGTGCTTATTTCACATTAGAGCCTTTCGCATAAAGTTAAAATTGAAAGAGCTTAAAAACAGTAGTATAACATGTTAAGAACATTAAAAATGAAACAAAAGGTTTTAATTTAATATTTAATTTTCCTTACAATTTTTACATGACAAAAGACGTTATTCTTCATAACTGCTGTTGAACAAAGCAAAAGAGAAAATAAACACAGTAATTTTTTTAAGTACAAAATTTACAAATTGTGGAATAAATTTCTATACACATAAAAAACTGTTAATCACAGTGAATGCACAAAATCAACCGAACAAAAAAAAGTGAAAAATATATTGTGAGTCTATTTACATTAGATCACTATTAGTGTAGGGTGCACAGGAATGACACTACTTGCAGAAATTGCAAGAGCACCTTTAGACTTTGATTGCAATCTTGCCCTGTTGAAGAAGAAATGAGAAAAAATTGCACAGTAATGAAAAGATGGCACACTTTAGAGTTTCATAATTTTAGCTTGATAACGAACGTGAAATACTTTTTAACATCACATCTGGACGATGCATTGATGGCAGTTTATCGAGTGGATTGACCTGAAAAAGATAAATAAAATATCTATAAGGGAGAAAACAATGAAAAATCACTTTGGAAAAAAGTTTTACCAGTAAGCTCAAGAATTTACAAGACTTCGTGTTTTTCATGTAACAACTGTCAAAACTCAAACTCAAGAAAATCTTAGGTTTAACTGGGGAAACCTAGGATTTACATAATTGGTTTTGTAAATCTTTGGCAGAGAGGCATGAAAATTGCCTCAAAGTCATGCTTAAAAGTCGAAATGGAATCATATTAAGGCATACTTCGGACTTTTACCAAGCCACTTATGTGAAAGGTAAGTCGGTAAAATTTTAGAATATACCAAACATCTTGTGCATGATGCAAATTATTGAAATCATTGTGAAATTATAGAATGAGTAAAAACAAACACAGCAATTAAAATGAACTCATATATAAATTGAATACTATTTTTTAAGTCAATTCTAGCATCTTTTTAATAATAACTGTTATAATAAAGAGTGGTAAGAATTTTACTAAAATTAATTATTTTGCATTATAATTAAGGCTACCACAGGGATGCTGCTCTGATTTCTACAAAAGTTATAATAAATTGATAGCGAATTAAATAGTAAAGCTAGTAATGTCACCACGAGATGCCTTCAATAAAGATGCATTTCATATAATACTTTGAATTTTCGATTCGTGGAGGTGGAAAAATGACTTATAATGAAAAATACTAAACTAAAAATAATTTAAATTTCGTTTCCACTAGAATTAATTTTTTTATAAAGCAGAGGAAAGTTGACATCTCTGCTACCATATGTTAATAAATACAAATTTACAAGGATCTATATCATATATATGGATTTTAGCTCTGAATAGCCTGTGCATAGTGACTTTTCAAAGCTAAAGTGGTAGGTAACACAAGAAAATATCAACTTGGTTCAACCATGCCTAGACTATCACCTTTTTTTGTAAATGCACTTTTTACATTTTCCTTTAAAATCACCGAATATTTCGCATAATACCTTAAAAAAATGTTTGTGTTTATATATATATATATATATACATATATATATATATATATATATATT